CACACACACACACACACACACACACACACACACACACACACACACACGTAAAGTTACGCAAACATACAAACAAGCAATCCCATCCATCACCAGCATTGGGTTGGATGGATGTAACGTTGGTTAGATGTATGGCTGGTTGGATGTGTTTGGTTGGATATATGTTTGGATGGATGCAATGTTGGTTTGATGTATGGTGGTTTGGATGTGTTTGGTTGGATGATGTAATGTTGGTTGGATGTATGGCTGGTTGGATGTGTTTGGTTGGACATTTGGTTGGATGTAATGTTGGTTGGATGTGTTTGGTTGGATATATGGTTGGATGTGCGGTTGGTTAGATGTATGGTTGTTTGGTTGGATATGTGGATGCATAGATGTGTCATTGGTTAGATGTATGGTTAGATATGGTTGGATGATATAATGTTGGCTGGATGTACAGTTGGTTAGATGTATGGTTGGATATATGGTTGGATGGATGTAACGTTGGTTAGATGTATGGCTGGTTGGATGTGTTTGGTTGGGTTTATGGTTGGATGGATGTAATATTGGTTGGATGTACTGTATGGCTGGTTGGATGTGTTTGGTTGGATATGTGGTTGGATGGATGTAATGTTGGTTGGATGTATGGCTGGTTGGATATATGGTTGGATGGATGTAATGTTCATTGGATGTATGACTGGTTGGATGTGTTTGGTTGGATATATGGTTGGATGGATGGAATGTTGGTTGGATGTATAGCTGGTTGGATGTGTTTGGTTGGATATATGGTTGGATATATGGTTGGATGGATGTAATGTTGGTTGGATGTACGGCTGGTTGGATGTGTTTGGCTGGACATATGGTTGGATATATGGTTGGTTGGATGTAATGTTGGTTGGATGTATGGCTGGTTGGATGTGTTTGGCTGGACATATGGTTGGATATATGGTTGGTTGGATGTAATGTTGGTTGGATGTATGGCGGTTTGGATGTGTTTGGTTGGATACATGGTTGGATGTATGGTTGCTTTGATGTATGGTTGGTTAGATATATGGTTGGATATGGTTGGATGGATGTAATGTTGGATGGATGTAACATTTGATAGATGTATGGCTGGTTGGATGTTTGGTTGGATATATGGTTGGATGGATGTAATGTTGGTTGGATGTGTTTGGTTGGATATATGGTTGGATGATGTAATGTTGGTTGGATGTATGGCTGGTTGGATGTATGTTTGGTTGGATGATGGTTGGATGCTGGGAGTCTGGCTCCAGCTCTTCATGTGATTCTCCTCTAAATGCTCCTCAGGTGAAGCTGCTGAAAAAGCAAAGAGAAACTCAAAGCTTCCATCAGAGACAGTGGTCCTGCTGGTTCTCTGTGTTCTGCTGACTGCTGCTCTCATCATTAGTTACAGACTCTGTGAGTTGAGAACATTTATTTCTTTTCATGTGTTCTGGTAAATGAAAAATGATCAAAGAGTAAAAATCAGTTTGTTTTTTTTTCTTCAACAAGCCGTGGAGGCAGCCAGACGACCTCTCCAAACCCTGAGAGAGGAGAATGAAGCTCTGAGGAAAAACCTGTCAGGTGAGACAGTCATGGTTGACAGATTTAGACTAAAGGTTTCAGTCAGGGCAGAGTTAAAATCATTTCTCAAGTTTTTAAATGAAAGAAGACAAACTGAAAACAAAAGGTTTGATTATATTTTAACAGAAATAACATCCAGCATCAAAAACCAACCAACATGTCGTCCAGCTCCCTCATGTCCTCACTTTTCTGAAGGACATGAGGGAGGTTTTTTATTCTTTGTGTCCTTTCTGTTCTGTAATTCTCTTAAAGAAACATCGATGGACAAACAGGTTGTAACTGCAGGACAGAAGACGCCTCCTGCTGCCTCCAAATCACACAAACATCATCACACATTTCTTCCTCCTGATTAATGGAGCTTTCATCTCATCTGCACTGAAAAAAGTGCAACCACTGTCTCATTTATTTAAAGTACTATTTTAAATTAAATTAATTGAAAATTATGTTTTATTTATTTTAAATTGTTTTTTTCAGTTTGCTTCAAAGCAAATAATGCACATTTTGGAGCAAACTGAAATTAATGTTTGGATTAAAGTAATTATTTTGCATTAAACCAAAGATATTCTTGTCACGTGACCAAATGATGTCATCTTTGAAGTCAGCCATTTTCTGAACCACGCTTTGGAAAGTTATCTGTTTCCATCCTCGGACAGAAAGACACATTAATAAAAGGTAAGAGTGTGGAATTAGTAACAATGTATTTTATTTGAATATTTTTTTTTAATTTTTGGTTGGTTTGACAACTGTTTAATTTTGTCTTTGTATTTTTTCCCAGCTAGTTGCTAGCTAGCTATAGCTAATACCTGCCTGGTGATTTGCATTAAATTATCACACAAATATAGGCATTTTTCTCGCACATGAAATAGTAATGTTGTTGCTAAAAGTATTTTACGTTGCGTAAGTAAAGTGAAGGGTAACTTGGTATAGTTCATCTCATTTTTCTGTAAAGTAGAGCTTGTCCTGTTCGGAGTTGTTGGAACAGTTTCTGTGTGCATTGCCAATGCAATGCACACAATTGTGATTCGTTTCCCATCCAAGTCATCTCCACTTTGGCACGCTTCTCCTCCTGCAAACTATGTCCTAGAGCTGCCATTGTAATTTGTATCTGTAAAGCTCCCTTTTCAAATGATGGCTATGCCTTTTGGTGCCTATACAACTTACAGTTTTTTAACTATTAATATTTAAAATCAAATAATGTGAGTCAATGGAGCCTTGTATTTGTCCAATACTGCCCCTGCTGTATCTACTCAGTACTGCACCATAGTTTAATAATATTTGATCTCAATAGTTCAGTGTTTACAATACTAATATGATTGTATTTTGATGTTTTACCATAATATTGTCCAAATATTGCTCTATTGCTGTAATATATTGCAGTTTAGTGTCAACAATTGCATTGGCAATGTTGCCTCTTTCTGCACTCATACAAACCTACCTAGGAGTCCCTACGGCCACAGCTCCTGTAGTCTCATGGTTAACACTATGGGCTTTCATGTGGGAGATCATGGTTCAATCCCAGCTAAAGCAACTTTAACAAAAAAACATTCTCCAAAGTCCACATAGTCATACAATTATCCTCATTACAAACACCTGCTGACTTGACAAGCTGGTATAGAAAACACATTTGAACTTGGGCACAGTTCATTCTGCAACTCCACTGCTGCACATGCTACATGGCAATGCACACTTGTTTTTACATCGTAAAAACCCATGTCTAGTTATGTCAGCGTCTAGTTAAATGCTTATTAGTCACTTCATAGTTACACACTATGTATGAGTCTAAAATAACATGGCTTACATCAATTCACCTCAAACAACAACAACCTTTTTATTCTTTTGACTTTGGCATGTGTGTATTCAATGTGTAATTATTAGCAGCCTGTAGTTATAAGAGTTCATAATGTACCAATAAAATAAAGGGCAAATCTCACCATTTCCTTTTTTTACAGGTTTGTTGTTGAGCTGGGTCTTTTCACTGTTTTTAGCCACACTGCTAAATTTGGTAAGTTTTGAAATCTTCTGTTTATTAATAATTGTAAATCAAATGATCTGAAATGAAAAAGTCTTATTCACTCAGTGGAAAGTTGGGTTTCACCAGATATAGATAAAATATTTTGAAAAAATCTTCACATGAATGAAATATAAGGTACAACCTAAATATTAAAAATATAAGTGTGTATTTTGACATGATATGTATATATTTTACACCAAGCCTATGTTAGTATTTCTGTGACTGTTCAGTAGTGTTGTATGTAATTGTGGTCCAGCTTTAAATTTAATGAGCTTTTATCTTAAAGTGCATGTTTAATCTTAGTTTTAAGGGCAGAAAAATAATATTTAGAGGTAATACAGTAATTTTGGTTATCCTCCCGGCTTTCCAAATAACTAGCAAGAGCCTTACAGCCACAAATCAGGGGGGAAAATACTGAGCGTCACTGGAGTCACGTGACGCGTGGCGTAGAAGGAGGAGAACGAAGTCGAAGGTTGTATTGAATTGTATTGAAATGAAAGAGGTCCAATAATGGTGAATATCTGTGTGTGCTGGGGTTGTTCGAACTCCAGTTTGTCTGGACATTCTGTCCATCGGTTTCCTGCACCAGAACACCCAGCATTCCGAGCTTGGGTGAGGTTTGTCCGGTTGAAAAGGCAGGATTTCACCAGCAGTAGCGTCTCAACCAACTCCGTGATTTGTAGTGCGCACTTCTGTGAGGAGGATTACAACGAGAGGAACCTGAACGAACACAGGATGGGGTTCAGGAGTAAGGACAAAATCAGACTGAAATCCACTGCAGTACCATCAGTTCACAGCAGAGGGACCGAGAGAAGCGAGCAAGATCGGCCAGGACCGGGAGCAGCTGTCCAACAATGGTGGCCGCCATTGTAGGGAGCTAAAGACTAGGCTAATGTAGTTAAATCCATCCGGGGTATAATCAATGCTGTACCTCTATATTTATATATAAATATAAACCGTTTTTAGCTTTAGGTAGTATATTTCTAGAAGTTATTTGGCTAGATATTTGATGTAATATGTAGGGCTGCAACTAACGATTATTTTAATAATCGATTAATCGGTTGATTATTTTTTCGATTGATCGGCCAAATCAGTAAAATGCTTAATTACATGAATATGAGTAGATATAAATTAAGTTAACTCCTTAAAGGTATCATATCATGCTTTTAAATCTTTCTTTTTCATGTTTAAATCATTCACTTACGGTCTATTTAAAATAAAACTGCAACACTTTGGTCTTAATTCCTTGTTTTTGTTGCTCCACAGACTCCTTGCTTTCCTTGTTTTACCCCTGTTCTGAGTTGCGCCTCAGAGCAAGCTGTTTTGGTGCGGTCTCTTTAAATA